AACAACAAACAATTAATAACAATAAAAGATTTAGAACAAGGAGAAGCTTATAAGTACCTAGGTGTAAATGAGGGTGAATACCATAAGAAAATAAAGAAATAGTGCGTAAAGAGTACTATATAATTAAAAACTGAATTGAATTCTCAGAACAGAATTAATTAATTGCCATCCCAGTGGTCCAACTAGTTTCAACATCTTGAACTGGATCAAATGACATCAGAAAATGGATTCTAAAACAAGAAAGCTTCTTTCTATATAAGATGCATCATCCAAATGATGTAGACCGTTATACATACCCTGTGAAGGTAAATATCCAGAATTGTCACGATTGGCTTATCATGGAAACAAATAAATGACTGGATGATAAAATTAGTGAAACAACATAAAACAGAAAGAAAAAATATTCAATAATAAAAGAAGGCAGTAAATACAAACAACATTTACATTTAGTAGATTCTGTAGAAATCAAAAGAAGCCAAGAACCAACTATTGCAGCAAAGATATGAAAAAGAAAGCCAAGGATAAAGCCCTTGAACAGATGAACAACGCTGGCAAGACAAACCTCTGCATGGCCAATATCCAGAACGTGCAAATAAACCCAATGTTGATAAAGTTAATACTCATCGATGGTTACGAGCATCTGGATTAAAGTCTGAAACTTTTTATTCTTGCAGCGGAAGACCAGAAACTGAAAGGCAAATATCATACATAATAATGGGATCCAAAATGCAGGTTCCCAAGAAACCAGACCATCTAATCTCAGGATGTTCTATACTACCCCAAATGAATATAAAAAATCGTCACGATAGAGTGGGGCAATACTTACACTGACAATGTGCAAACACTTTGGAAAATGTGTGGGATTACACCATTCTATGGGATTATACCATCCACACAGACAGAAAAAATTGAGAGAATTGTCAAAACCAGAAAGAAAAAAAATTGCCTACTAATTGATATGGCTTGTCCAGCAATCATAAAGCCAAAAACTATCAAAATACAAAAGACCTGGAAATTGAAATAGAAAAAATGTGGAAATTGAAAACAAGAATAATACCAGTGGTAAGATAATTGAATCCTGGAAACCCCAGCTTATTAAAAACCACAAACAAAAAAACTTTGTCTATGCCTGTGGCCATAACAACACACCACGACCTGCCTTAGGTTGATATTGGCAGTCCCTGCTGACTGGAATTATCAAGCACATAAAAATTGTATCAGCCCAAAATGCAGATTCTGAAAATATTCAAAACGATTGATGTCAAAATACAAGGACACTGAAATAAAACCCGGCATGACAGAGTAAATATCTGCAAAAAATATGCATGGAAGGAAACTGAAAGAAACTGGTATGAACACCAACCAGACCCGGTTACGGAGATAGGACCTGGGACAATTCATCAACAATACAATCCCTCGTTGTTATTAAAGACCACAAACAAAAAAAAGTGCCTCCTTATTGTTGGAGCCCTGCTGACTGCAATGTATCTTTGAAAATATTCAAAAGCTGTTGGAAAAGATTGCAAATATAGAACATAATTGGAGGGATTCCTAGACTAATTGAAGTCCATGTCCATCAAGGAGATACAAAAATTGTTCTGACAAGTACAGCCCACACTTTTTACGAAGGGCTTTATCTGTGTAATTTAATTTTTTTTTTTTTTTTTTTTATAGTGGAAAGTGTCATGACGTCATTTCTAACCTTAGGTCCTGGGCGGGACCCGAAAAGAAATGTAAACGCTAGAAATCAAAGAAAAAATAATAATAATAATAATAATAATAATAATAATAATAATAATAACTAGAAAAACCAGTAAACTTTCATGGTTTTCCTTTTTGTTAACGATCCGAGAGAAATTCCTCTATTACATTGTTAAATATTGAATCTTAACAACTTTAAGAAAAGATTGAAATAACCGTCATAAAGATGAATGCAAGAAGTGGGTACAAATGAAAAGTTTTGAAATTAGGAACTTTTTTTCCCATTTACAGCTGTAAACACTTCTGTTTTTCCTTCTTTATTTCTTTCATTTATTTTCTCACCGAAATCAAGGAGTGTCTCTGATATTTGTTTTTTTTTCTACGTAATCAAAACGAAATAGTCTATCATTGATGAGGTAATGACTGGAAACGTAACCTCTTCTCTAGCCAAGTCATTGTTTGTTTGTTTCATTCTTTCATTTTCTCACTGAAACCAAGAAGCGTCTCTGATAAGTGTTTTGTTTTTCCATCCAATCAAAAGGAAGTAATCCAGTAATGATCAGATACTGGCAGGAGACGTTAAACATATCTATCTATCTATCTATCTATCTATCTATCTATCTATCTATCTATCTTCTTTCCCTCCTTACTTCCTTCCTTTCTTTCTTTCTTTTTCTCGGTGAAACGGAGTTGTTTCTTTTCTCCTCTTTCCATCCGATCAAAACGGAACAGCCCATCATTTAGGATGTACTGACAGGACGTTATTGTCATACAAACTAACGAAGGGAAGAACAAGTACAATTATGATGTGATAATAATGTAGGTGAGTGATTGATAGTCTTTTGATTTGTACATAAAATGAATTTGCCGTGTAAGTTTGCATGAAAAGAAAATAGATTTTTATAGAAGACAATTTGTGTGATCCTCAGTAATTGAAATATTTCTGTTCATTGTTCCGGGAAATAGAAAAAGATGATTTCATCGCGTTATGTCAATTTGCAAGATAAGGAATTTTACACTCAATGCCATTTTTCAAAAGACTTGTCCTTATGCTTTCCTGTTGCCTTTTGCAGAGTTAGGATTATTTTCAAATTTAATTTTAAATTGCGTCAAATTGAAACAAAAAACAAAAAACAAATTAAAATTCTGCTACGAGATTCAGAATTAGATTCATTCTAACACGCATTAATATTTATCCCATTATTTTGCACAAATATATATTTTTTGCCATGACATCACAAACATATTATTATATATATTATATATTATAATTATATATTATTATATTATATATTATAATTATATATTATATTATATATTATAATTATATATTATAATATTATATATTGCAATATTATAATACATATCATATTATAATATATTATATTATGAACATATTATATTATGAACATTATATTATAAACAGTATTTATAAATAAGTATTTATAATAAATGTTTCAAATAAGTATTTATAATAAATTTTTAAAAGAAATATGTATAATAAATGCTTCAAAAGAAGTATTTATAATAAATTTTCAAATTATTATTTACAATAAATGTTTTTAATAATTATTTAAACAAATTTTTCAAATAAGTATTTATAATAAATTTTTAAAAAGTATTTATAATAATTATTTTAAAATAAGTATTTATATTAATTTTTCAAATCAGTACTTATAATAAATGTTTCAAATAAGTATTTAAAATAAATGTTTTAAATAAGTATTTATAATAATTTTTTCAAATAAGTATTTATAATAAATTTTTTCAAATAAATATGTATAATAAATGTTTCAAATATGTATTTACAATAAATGTTTTAAATAAGTATTTATAACACATTTTTCAAATAAGTATTTACAATATTTTTCAAATAAGTATTTATAATAATTTTTTTCAAATAAGTATTTACAATAAATGTTTCAAATAAGTATTTATAAAAAACTTTTTAAAATAAGTATTTACAATAAACGTTTTAAATAAGTATTTATAACAAATTTTTCAAATAATTATTTATAATAAATTTTTCAAATAAGTATTTATAATAAATATTTTCAAATAAGTATTTACAATAAATGTTTCAAATAAGTATTTATAATAATTTTTTTCAAATAAGTATTTACGATAAATGTTTTAAATAAGTATTTATAACAAATTTTTCAAATAAGTATTTATAATAAATTTTTCAAATAAGTATTTATAATAAATATTTGAAATAAATAAGGCGTCTACTCACATACTCTTTTCCGCTAAGATTCGAACTCGACTTTCTAAGTTCTCATTCCGAGTCGCTATTCCTTGATTGGAATGTGCAAGTGTCGCCTATATAGATTAACTCTAAGGATTGAAAATCAGAATCATAAAGTGCTCTAACTCATAAGGCTAAAGAGTTATGCAGAGAGTACACTTGATTTTCTTTTTTTTTTTTTTTTGCATATCAACCCTTTGTGGGTTATTTAAAATCGAGCATTGGAATAATTCTTTTTTTTTTTTTTTTGTTAGCGTGTAAATGTTGCATTAATAAGTCTTTGGAAAAGCAATGATCTTTCCCACATATATGTCCTACTATTTTACCTATAACAGGGGGGTAAGATGGATTTATACCTTTCCCAAGGGTATTTCCGCCTAAATTAATATCGTTATTGTCGTCGTCGTCGGCATCCGTCCGTCTCGGGAGACGATGAAGTAACGCTGAAGGTGCTAGGCGATGGAGTTACATCACCTTCTCGTGTTGTGTCGATGTCTTGCGACGTCGTTGGAGTGTCCTCTCCAGTGCGCTACGAGCCTGGGCGGGATATATGGAGAGCTAGGGCGGTTCAGACGTCTAGTTCCCCCGCTCGGCCTTGCTAGCAGAGTCGAAAGGAGAGAATAAACCAATACAGTTTGGTACCAGCGCGGCTGCAGGATTTGCCAGTAGGTAGCACAAAGTGCCGTCCATCCGCCTTAGGGGCTCCACTCAGGATTTGTGTAGGGTTTACTTCTTAGCCTTTTCTTCTCCTGAGTATTTCCACAAAGCAGTGCAGCTATTTAACCCATGGCTGGGGTTTAGTTCATGGGCATATCCACACAACGGTGGGCCTGCATGCTGCATGTTAAGAGGGCCAAACTCCTCCCCCGTCCCCTGTAGTTTAGCCCGAGTGCTCAAGGTGCTCGGTTGCCATGTGTCCCCACGAGGAGGCACTACAGAGGGCTTGCTTGATGGAGAGGCTATATACTGGCAGGGGAAGACTTACGCACTCGGCTCCCCCTTTTCGTATTTCTGCTGGCCAGCGGCTGTGGCTGAAAGCGACAAGCACTAGACGCATCACAACAACCAAATTAATACAATGAACCGGAATAGAATTCAAAATCGCCTCTTCGATTTCTCATCCAATACACCAACCACACATCCACCGCAGGAAAGAATGCCCATTGTAATACTCCATAATTGATATCATATAATATATGTTTATAATATAATATGTTTGTGCTACAATTAATATTAATATTTATTTGAAACATTTATTATAATTACTTATTTATAAATACATTTTTAAATAAAAGGAACACCTAGTGAAATACAGTTATCTACTGACAATAACTTTTGATGTAATAATAATAACAATAATTATAATAATATGATAATAATAATAATAATATATATATATATATATATAGAGAGAGAGAGAGAGAGAGAGAGCTAGTTTATGCAAACTTAGGTAATCCATATGGGTAGACCCGAGGAGGATGATATCCAGAGAGCTCAATGTAAAATTCAGAGCAGATATGTTTGAATAAAAAACAGACCACGTTAAGATTCCATGTAATAAGTTATTTCATCATAACGCCTTTAACAGGGTACTGGATCATCAGACTTTACTTCCAAAAGTTGAAATGAAAAAGGAACAATATATATAGGGTACGATGGGTAAATTGTCGTCAGATTATATTTTTAATTTCCCATTGTTTTTTATTTTTTTATTCTGTCGACTACACAGTATAGTAGCACCGTCTGTAAGAAAAAGAGCACAATGATGCAATTTACTCCGCCGGAAATTTTGAAATGACAAGCTGTACTGTTTGGCATTCACGCCGGAAGCTCCAATACAATCATTTCGGAGTACAGAAGATTCGGAGTTAGATGGGTCTAATGGTGAATACGAAGGTATGTCAACTCGAAAAACTCACTCTGATCAAGAAAAGAACTCCCGAATTTCAAGCTGAGGGCCTCAGACCCAACACAGGGGGCTACATCTACTACCTTGAGAAAGCAGTGCTGGCCTGTGTCAAGACGGTGGTTGCTGTAAGATACTATGTCTGGCAACATGATTCTGCACCATGCCAAGCAAGCAGTAGAAGACACTATCAGTCAATTTCTACTACCGCATCACCCCTTATAATCTGGCCACCTAATTCCCCAGATTGCAACCCCCTTTAATTATTTTTTGCGAGGCGCTGTTAAGCGAGGGACAAACAAAGATTATGGCAGCATTCACAAACTTAAACAAGGAGATCGTCCAGAAAAGTTGCAAGAAATTCTGAAGTTGTCTGGCAGCCGTGGTTGAAGCCAATGACGATGTTATTGAATAAATTTACTCTTTAGTATATCAAGATATTTTTGTGTAATTTTTTATTAAATATATCGGTTAAAATGAGATGTCAGTGTTATTTTCATTTTTGTGTAATTTGGATGAAAATTTATCCATCGCATCCAGTATATATCATCTCTTTACATAAAACATATATATGACACACACACAAACACACATAGTCGCCCTCTCTCTCTCTCTCTCTCTCTCTCACACACACATATATATATAACACATGTATTTATATAAGTGTCTATATATATATATATATATATATATAACAGATATGTATATAAATATCACATACTTATATATAAAATCGATATGTATATATATATGTATATACATATATATAACACACGCATATATATGTGATATGTCCCGGAAAGGGATATATTTGAACGAAGTAGCTAAGTGGTTTTGGCTACTATAACCAAGTAGAATATGGTAGCAGTAATCGACTGGTACACGTCATAGTCGCAGGTAAGAAGTGTAGGTCAATGGCGTAGTCCAATGGGCGTCTGTTATAGACTTAGCACTCAGACTAAGGCTCTTTGACTCTCCTACACGTCCAGCAGTATTTATGACGGACACCAGCCAATCATATTCCAGTGAGGGGGAACACAGATGTATGCATATTCAATCATATCAATATATATATATATATATATATATATATATATATATATATATATATATATGTGTGTAGATAGATAGACAACGCATATATATATATATATAGGTGTATATATGTAGATAGCACACACACACATATATACACAGACATATATATACATATACATATATATATATGAAACATTAGGCAGCATATAATTTATATACAAAAAAATCATGTTATAGAATCAATCAGCAATAATATTGCTGATTGATTCTATGCGAGATTTCTATATATATATATATATATATATATATATATATATATATATATGTGTGTATATATATATATATATATATATATATATATATATATATATATATATATATTACTTTTCTCATAATTGTGCTGGATAAAACTAACTAGAAATCGGCCTGAAAACCACTCCCGTACGTGTGAGTATGTGCGTGCAATCATACCATCAGGACTCGAAGGGGCGCTTTCAAGAACGTTTTCAAATACAGAGTCTCATAAAAATTCCTAGTAAACATCTCAACATTTTTTTTCTTGAAAAATCCCAACAAACTCTCCTCATTTTCTTTCAGGAAAAAAAAAATAATAAAAAAATACAACATGTGTTTCCCGCAGGAGGAAGTCGTGCTTTGTTTGCTGTGGAAAGAATCGATCGAACATTGAATTCTATTGATCTAATATTTGTGTACGGCGCCCCTCCCCCCTTTTAGCCTAATACCGATTCTCTTGTCTTCTCCTAAGGCAAAAATACCAGGAATATAAAGTAGAGAACACTTTAATACGAACGATTGTTTGGATTGAGTCTTGTTATGAAACATTCTTTATATGACTTGGAAAATGACAATCCGAAGTATTATCTGTCTTCATCCATTAATAATGAATATTCTGAATTATCTTATTTCATACAACCTTTGAGTGCTAAAATTTCCTAAGCCTCTTTTCTTTATTATTTAAATATATAAACACTGGATCTTGAGGACACGTGTCACAGTAGATAAAGGCATTAGTTAGATCCAGTGACAGGACCCAAAAAGTGTGAGTTCAATACCTGGTTAAGGCATTGGAGAACTTTCAGAGAGGAATTAACAGGAGATAAATGACATCCATTAGACATGGCACGTGGATCTAGAACAGTATACCCTAGTGAGCGAAATAAAGGGTTCAGTTCGAAATTCCCAAAACCTGAAGAAGGCCGGAGCGTACAACGGCCGAAACGTTGTGATAAACATGGCGACAAAGATGAGGACAATTGTCCGAATAATGTAAATAGTGTACATAATACCACAACTTAGCAATATAGACAGATATTAAAAATATTTTGTGTGTTAATTTCAATAACACTGGAAAAAAAACGAACGCATATTCGCTTGTCTATGTCAACTGCTGATGAATTAACGATTATTGCTGAATGTATTTATCATGCTTTAGATGAGAATGATGAAATTCGAGGTGTTTCTTTGGATATCCCGAAAGAATTCGACAGGTCTTGGTATACCGGTCTTCTTTACAAGTTGAAAGCTACTTCTGGGCGAATTCTTTAAGTAATTTAGTCTGTTTGGAAGTTGTCTTTAACGGCATCTCTTCTAGATCGTCTTTGTACTAATGCAGGTATCCCTCCAGAGCTCCATCTTTAGACCTGATTTGTTCTTAATTTTCATCGGTGACCTTCCTAATGGCATCAGTTCTCAGCTCGTTATGTTGATGACAAATATTTAGTCCCAGTAATAACAAGTCTGGTCGGTTCGATAAAGTCAGATTTGCAGCTGATCTAAAAAGAAAAGACCTATAAACTGCTGGGTTAATTTGCAGTATAACCAGCTAAAGCTTCTGGTATTGTCTGGTTATTTCGAAAATGACGTTAAAACATTCGAAACATACGATTGCCGTTTAGAAGTTAGGGACAGCGTAAGTTCGACTTCTTTCTCGTCGCGTACACAGAACGCCCGCCATGACTGGCTTTGTTTACATACGTTTGCCTCGAGTAATCATACGCGGAAGCTTCACTTGTCTTGATTACTGCGCAATGCGCGAAGTTTGAAATGAATGCACGAAATAATGCGGGAAAAAACGTAAAATTCGACAATTAAAATGAAATTAAATAAAAATTACGTGCCTGAAAAATAATCGTTCTTTTTAACGATTTTTTTCTGTGTCGTGAATGTTTCCTGGATTTAAAGCTTCATAAATTTCATTTTAGGGTAAGATTCTGTTTCATTTGCTATAAGCAAATTTATTAAGGAAAATAAAGAAAAAAATATTATTCATTTAAAATTTCATTTTAAAAATAAGCGTATTTTCCGCGAAAATCGCGCAGCAATCAAAATCAGAAAAGCTATAAAATGGGTGACGGATCTAATTTCAACTCGGAACCTCAAAAGCGTAATTTGCATTTCAAGACCTGCGCTCAGTTTCTAATAAAAGAAATTCCCAAATAGTTTCATTTAGGTGTAAATAAACATGCTTAATTCGAAAATAACAAAGAAATTTTGATAAAATCTACCGTTTTGGAGTTATCGACAATAAAAGTTCGGACTCATTCGCGTCGCGGGTGGTGAAGTTGAAATTATTCCTGCACCACCTTAAAAAGGCCGTTAATTAAGTAAACTTCGGCGCATTACTACTAAAGTAAAATGTATGTAAACACCGTCAGTAATGGCGGCCGGACAACGCAAAAGATATCGAACTTACATTGACTATAAATCACAAAAAGGTAATCGAGCGCAATTGTGACACTATTTAGCGGTCGCGTGAAAATTAAAAGCGAGAAATAATTAAGGCGAGAAGAAGCTATCACGAAAGACATACTGAGCGATGTTGTTTTTTTTAACAAAGAAAAGTGGTAAAGATTCTATTTTCAATTGCGAAAAAAAAGTATTTTTTTGCAGAAGATAGGAAATTCGTAAAATCTCGGATCTGTCGGAATTTATGCTATGACGCGGCGAATAAAAGATACAATCTGCCCATGACAATAATGAAAATTTAAAATTGGTCAAGTGGCCTACAAAACAGAAGCTTGAAGATAATCGTAATCAGGTCAAGCACGACTGAGAAAAAAGATCAGCTTAGACCACCCCAAAGAAAA